ACCTGCAGGTTGTCTGGGTTGAGGTCGGTCTTGTGCTCATCGCTGGGCTGGTAGCCGCCGTGCCGGTCCTCAATGATGGGGTCGAAGAGGTCCTTGAACACGTCGTAAGTCTCCTCGTCGCCCGCCACCGCACCCACAGTCATGATGTACGGGTGGCCTGGGGGAGGGGAGCGGCGACACTGACGTCACCGCCAGGCTGGAGCTGAGGTCCCTGCGGCTGAGCGCGGGAAGGGGATGAGGGGACCCCAGCCCGCTGGAGGTTGAGGGAAAGGCAGAGGGACCCTTGTCCAGGGGGTCTCTTGGGGAGACGGAAGCCTGACGCTTACAGGGGTGCGCATACCCGGATTGTCTACGCCAGTCTGAATGGCGTCGTCCAACGTGAAGCCGCTTGGTGTGCACTTGGCACGGAGCTCGGCGTACAGCTCGGGGGTCAGCACCTTGGCCATATGGTTGTTGTGGCTGCTCAGATCAGGGAACTCATCCTCGGCCGGGAAGCGCAGCTTCTGCGTATTATGGCTGTTGGAGAAGGGCATGGCGGCGGTGGCGGGCTGCAGGGAAGCGCAGGGTCAGAGGAGCTCTGCGCATCGGCCTCCGGGGACCTGCAAACCGCTCGGGACCCCTGCGGCTTCCCCCCCGGACGCCGCCAAGGTCAGCGGGGTCTGCATCCTCTGCTCCCGGCGCCTGCGCATCCCTGGTCCCCAGTGGGTCCGGTGCGCGCTCCCCGCAGCGCGGCCGTGCGTGACGCCCCAGTCCCGCACCCCTCCGCGCGGTGCCCCGAGCAGCTACCCCTGACCCTTGGATCCGCTCACCGGGATGCGGGACACAGCGAGGGCGCAGATTGCCTGAGCAGCTCCTGGCGCAGCACAGACGAACAGCGTCGGCTCGCTGCTCCGGAGCTCTTAAGGGGCTCGTCGCCAGCTGCCCATTGGCGGTTATTTATAGCCCATTCATTCCATTGGCCCGCGCTTTGGGGTGGTGCCGCTGCTTTGTCCGTGGCAGCAGCCCTCGACACCCCCAGCCGCCCACCCCAGCGGTCCCCGAGTCTGGACACCACAGTTTAGCTATCCCCGCGGCGCTCGCACAAGGTAACGAAGGCAGAACCCCAGGGCCTTAAGTATCCTAGATCTTTCTCATATACACTGCCTTGGGGCGGGAAACTGAGTCTGGAAAGCCGGCTGGTACTGGGTCTCCTGCCTTCCCCTCCTCCTGCCTTGTCTGGTGGACCGCCTTGGCGCGGGGGCCTGTCGAGAGTTTCCAGGTCTTTAACTTTGGGTATGGCGTTCATCCACCGCACCCAAGCTGTACGAAATGGCACAGAGCCACTGACCTTCCTCAAGGTGCCCGCGGGCATCTCCTGGGTGTTCTTGGTGCAGCACCAGAGGCGCAGTCTGGCTATGGTCCAGCCCCGAAGCACCCAGGGTGTTCAGACCTTGGGCGGGATCTAATGAACCGAGCCAACACCCTTGGACCCAGACCCTAAAAGGTTCAAGACACTGAGCTCTGAGGGGCTGGTTTTGAGTATCCAGACCTCCATCCCCTGGCCCTTTCCTCAGGGGACCGGTTCCTACCACCCCACCCACAAAGACAGCACCTACAGTCAGCAGGCAAACCGGGAGTGGAGACAGCATCAGCCAAAAATAAGCTCGCTAATGGCACCCAACACGCTGAAACAGTCTCTCTCCCCCAGCCCCACACACCCAGGCGTGGGGAATTGTAGCAGACTGACCCCAGACAGCGCCGGCTGTGAATTGAAATGTGTGAAGACAGGCATTTGCACCCCGCCTGCAACTGCCAGCCTCTTCATCTTTTCTGGAAAATAATTTGGCAGTATTTATTAAAATGAAAAAAAAATGGTCTACCTCCATGACCTAACACAGGAATTCTAGGAATCCAACCTGTGGAAAGGACAGTGTTGGCCTAGCGTTTGTGGCGCACACCTTTAATCCCAGCACTCGGGAGGCAGAGGCAGGCGGATCTCTGTGAGTTCAAGGCTGGTCTGGTCTACAAGAGCTAGTTTGAGGACAGCATCCAAAGCCACAGAGAAATCCTGTCTCGAACCCCGCCCCCCCACAAAAAGAAAACAAAAGAAAGGACAGTGTATGTCCCTTCTCTGCCAATAGATCAGGGAATGTGGAGTGGGAGAGACACGTTAGGATCCGGCCTTCGGCTCATCTGCGAGGAGGGGGTGGGGGGACACCAGCCATTGCGAGGAAAGGTGCGGAAAGGTGGGTGGGCGGCGAAGTCAGTAAAAGTGTAGGCATGAGTTTAATGTTCTCTCCAACTCCTCACCACTCCAGGCTGCACAAATAAAGCAAGAACCAGACAACCTCCCGTCCTTATGCGTCTGTCAGAATTCCTCCAGTCATTTCACGATGAGCCAGTCCAGGTGCCCAGATGCAAGGAACACGAGGGCGACAGGATCCCTGCCTTTCTGCGGGAGCTGGGCTGCCCTGAGCAAAAGGCTGCGGGAGGGGTGACGGGAATTCCAGGCTTGAGAGAGAATGTGCAGGTACTTCAGCAGAAGGCTCTGGAGCCAAGAACGCAGGGCTCTGCCTGGGCGAGCATGAAAAGCCCTGGCTGTGCTCTCCTCAAAGCTACAAAGTGACTCCACCTGTTCTCTCGCTCGCCTTGGCCAGCCTCGACCTCTCCTGCTTTGACAAGAGCCACCCCCCCAGTTCTGGTATTACAGGGTTGTACCACCCAGATCAAGTCACTGTTTTTAGGCCAAATAAAACAACCCCATATAAGAAGGTATGTGCTGAGGGTTGGAGAGATGGCTCAGAGGCTAAGAGCACTGACTGCTCTTCCAGAGGGCCTAAGTTCAATTCCCAGCACCCACATTGGTGGTTCACAAAGATCTGGTGCCCTCTCTGGCATGCAGGCAGAACACTGGATAGATAGATAGATAGATAGATAGATAGATAGATAGATAGATAAAATCTTTTTTTTTTTTTTTTTGGTTTTTCGAGACAGGGTTTCTCTGTAGCTTTGGAGGCTGTCCTGGAACTCACTTTGTAGACCAGGCTGGCCTCAAACTCACAGAGATCCGCCTGCCTCTGCCTCCCGAGTGCTGGGATTAAAGGCATGTGCCACCAACGCCCGGCTAGATAAAATGTTTTAAAAAAAATGGTGGTGCCCAGCTCTCAGTACTCAGGAAGTAGTGGCAAGTGGATTATCCTAGTTAAGGCCATAGAGTCAACACAGTAACTTCTGGGACAGCCAGGATTACATAGAAATACCATGCCCCCCAAGTATGTGGAGACAAGCATGGGTATGGTGGTGACAAGAACCTATTAGTCCAGCACATGGGAGGGGGAGACAGGAAGATCAGGAGTTCAAAGCCAGCCTGTGCTCCATGAGCTCCTGTCTTAGACAGAGAGAGAGAGAGGGAGAGAGAGTAACGCATTGGCTAGACAGCAGGTGTTCCATAAGCCTGTAATTCCGGCATTCTATGCCCCCTTCAGCCCCTCTCAGAAATGTCTGCAGCTGCTGACCCAGTGCCTACCCATGTCAGGCAAGCTGGTTCTGCTTGAGCCCCAAGTGCTCAAGTTTCTGTTTGTAGAAATAGAGAGGAAGCAAACATGGTGTCCAGGGTGGGGGCAGGGGCTCAGGGCTTCCTCTTTGTCTCCAGCATTCACAGTTTCGCAGCCTCCTCTTCTGCCCTCCTCCCGTCTCCCCACATGGACAAGGCCAGGGCTGCAATAAGGTGAGGTACAGAAGGCCGCAGTCAGCCACACCCAGCACGGGGACGGGCTCCTGTGGCCTTCAGTCTGTGCCCTTGCACCACGAAACAGAAAGGAGGACTGGCTGTTAGTGCTGACTCAGGCACCCAGGCACCCAGGGTCCCGAGTGTCTACCCTCGGCTGCTGGGCAGAGTGTGTCTACCCTCGGCTGCTGGGCAGACTCACAGAGCAGCGTGGCTAGGCAGCTGTAGCAGAGATGACAGCAGGGTAGATAGATGAGGAACCTTCACAGCCTTCAGACCACAACATCAGTGTGAGACCCCCACTTGGGGGATTGCTTGGAAGTCCTGGAGGGCCTCAGAGGAAGGGAACAAGGTGAGGGCCTGCTAATCCAGCCTAGACCTGACTGTGGATGACCCTCTGCTGTCCTTGGGAAAAACAGTAGTTGGTTTGCCAGCTTCCAGGCAAGAAGCTGGGTGACATCATTCAGAAGATTTATGGTTCCATCTCCTTAGAAATCACACCAAGTAATCACACCAAGTCATACATTAACCACAGGGCCTGGAAGGGGCCTCAAAGGAGTCCCAAGTCTTTTATTCAGAGCATGGGCCAGCCCAGCAGGGCAAGTGCAGGCTCAGACAGGGCCCGGCTCTAAGCTCCACACAGGCCATCCTTAGTCTATGCCGAGTGAATTGCTTCCTCTCTGCTCATTTGCTCTTGGAATGCAAAGGGGAATTGGCAAAGGTCAGGAGGACACCGGGAATCAGGGGGTTGTGCCAGTCAAAAGGGACTCCTGTTTTGTTTTGGGTTTTTGGTGTGTTTTTTTTTGGGGGGGGGAGGGTTTCGAGACAGGGTTTCTCTGTATTGCTTTGGAGCCTGTCCTGGCACTCTCTGTAGACCAGGCTGGCCTTGAACTTAGAGATCCATCTGCCTCTGCTCCTGGTTGCTGGGATTAAAAGTGTACACCACCAATGCCTGGCCTTGTTTTGTTTTGTTTTTTGTTTTTTCAAGACAGGGTTTCTCGCCGGGCGTTGGAGGAGCACGCCTTAAATCCCAGCACTCGGGAGGCAGAGGCAGGCAGATCTCTGTGAGTTCGAGGCCAGCCTGGTCTACAGAGCGAGTTCCAGGACAGCCTCCAAAGCCACAGAGAAACCCTGTCTCGAAAAACAAAAACAAAAAAAAAAAAAAAAAAAAAGACAGGGTTTCTCTGTATTGTTTTGGAGGCTGTCCTGAAACTTGCTTTGTAGACCAGGCTGGCCTCGAACTCACAGAGATCCGCCTGCCTCTGCCTCCTGAGTGCTGGGATTAAAGGCATGCACCGACACCGCCTGGCTCACAGGGAACTCTTGGCAACCCAGACCCTGCCAGAGGTGCAGGTGGAGCAGCCGCCCCCAAAGGCATCTTCAGCTTCCTCACCTCCAGCCTGCCTCCATTCCTGCTCCTTCAAGTTCTCTGAAACGAGGCTTTAAACTCCAATCCCAGGTGACACACTCCTTTAACCCCAGGATTTGGTAGGCAGAGGAAGGCAGTTCTCTCCCAGTCGGAGGCCAACATGTATTACTTAGTGAGTTCCAGACCAGCCAAGGCTACATAGGGGAACTGTCTCAAAGACAAAATTCAATCCTGCTTGAACCACGTTGTGTGTCTGATGTTAGGCAAATTAACCTTCTGTTCCCCATCTATAAAGTGGTCATAAAATTGTAGGGGATGATTCAGTGGCATCACAGTTAGCGGGATGCATTTAGCAATGTAGCATCCGTTCTTATTAGAACCCTCGGAAGCCCCCCTCCCACCCCCATGCCCCCACCAGCTAGGGTCTCAGGGAGGCTGAGGCTAGACATGGCAAACGCTAGCTTCGAGAAAGCAGACTGAGGAAGGGACACAGGAGGCACAGGCAGGCCAGCAGTGGACAGCTGGGACTAAGGGAAAACCCTGTGTTGAGCTCACAGGCTGGGGAGAGACACAATCGGGCCTGGTCTCCATGCCGCTGAGAGACTGGGGAGGAGCCTCCCAGAAGTGGAAAGTCTAACTCTCCAGAGAAGCAATTAGGGTGTGGATTGGGCTGCGCACCATCACGGGAGTGAAGTAGCCTACTGGAACAGAGGTTGTGGAGTCCAGGATAGGGCTGGGGTGACTCCACAGCATGGAAATCCAAAAATCCCTCATTGCCTACCCTCTCAAGCTACCAGATCAAGGCCAGGCAGGGCAGAGACCTGAAGCCCTAATGTCAGGCACCTGGGTTTCCAGGGCAAGGCCCTCACACATACTGGCATAGTCTGGCCCCAGAGGATCCCCACAAGCCAGCAGGACTGTAGAAAGGGCATGTTCGTGGGGCTGGGCCGCCCCCACCTTCCCCAGGTGGCTGGGGAGCCTGGAGGTGCTCCTGCTGAAGCCTCGCCCTTCACTCTCCCTGCCCCGGCTCCCCTCTCCATTGCACACGCTCCACTCCGGGGAAGAACCTTCCTTCATGAGCAACACTCCTTCACGAGGAGCCCATGAGGGCTCTGAATCAGCTCTGCTGAGACAAAACACCCCTACAGCTTCCCCTTTCTGCCCGGGTCTCCCGCAGCCCCTCCCCCGTTCACCCAGCCCTCAAGACGCCAGGGATGGCGGAAGAGAACCCTAGGTGTCCTTCCCCTCAGGCAGGGCCGGGTCACTTCGGCAGACTATTCCAGACTCCCCCTTCTCCTTATACTTGGCCTGGCCCTGACCAAAGCCTTTGGGCCCCGCCTCTGCTCTCGGGTTCCACTTTCTAGGATTCATCCAGGAGTTCAGGCAGGGTGTTTGCAAAGACAAAATGTTCTGGTGGCCCCGGCAGGGAGGCCCCGGGCCTGCCCAGCTGTCAAAGTGCGCTTTAGGGTCAGGCCTATCGGGCGGGCAGAAGCCCCAAGCCCTGGGCAGCCCTAAAGAGCCGCACGCGGACCAGACGCTGGCGAGGAGGGGACTTTTATTTTGCACAGCGCTCGCGTCTCCCAGGCAACGCGCAAGTCTGCACACAAGGCCACCGGCGCGGAGACGCCAGCCAGGAAACGTCCTCTGGGGGCGCGCAGAGGACAGCGCCGAGGCTCCCGGCAATCCCCGCGCCGGCGTCGACGTCATCAAAAGGCACCGGAAGTGCGGCGGTCGCAACGGAGCCACGTGTGAGCCGAGAGCCGGCGTGCGCCGGGTGAGTGTCCGAGCGTGGACTAAGTGGCCAGGGCGGGAGAGGCGCTCCGGGATTGCCTGCAGGTCCCGCGCCGTTCCGCGGGTAGCCAGCCGTCCCTGCCGTCGGGAGCCCGCCCGGGGGACTCTGGGCAAGGGGCGCCGCGGAATCCCGGCTTGGCGGCGACTCGGCTCCGCCGCTGGAGCACACCTTCCAGGGGCCTCCGCCTTCACAGCTGGGGAGTGAAGAAAAAACTTTGTTCTGGTCGCTCTTGCGCGAGAATCCTTGGGCTTCTCTCGTGTCCGCCCAGATCTAGAAGGGCTCCGCGTGTCAGGCTAGAGTGCAGCTCTGCTGGGTTGCCCGACCAAGCCAGCTACCCGTACCCATACTGGCCAGAACCCAGGCCCCACAGACCTCTCTACCCAACCGCAGACCCCCTTCCTACCTCCTGGACCTACCTCACGCTCACACACCATTTCCCCAGGTCCCGGATACTTGGTAGACGTTGACACCATGAGCTTCGTGGCGTACGAGGAGCTGATCAAGGAAGGCGATACGGCCATTCTGTCGCTGGGCCATGGCTCGATGATGGCGGTGCGTGTGCAACGTGGGGCCCAGACCCAGACCCGGCATGGCGTCCTGCGGCACTCAGTGGACCTCATTGGCCGCCCATTTGGCTCCAAGGTGATCTGCAGCAGAGGCGGCTGGGTGTATGTGCTTCACCCCACCCCTGAGCTCTGGACAGTGAACCTGCCCCACCGCACACAGATCCTCTACTCCACCGACATTGCCTTAATCACCATGATGCTAGAGCTGCGACCCGGTTCTGTGGTCTGTGAATCAGGTGAGCTCCTCTGGTGTCTCCAGAGCTGAGCACCGACATAAAAGTGAGAGCCAGACCCACCACGGTTAAAGACGGTTTTGCAGCGAACCCTTTATTGCAGATGGGTGCTGAATTACTTGGTTTCTGTTCTAGCAGCTCTGCTTGGTGGGGAGTCTGTGACTGCAGGGAGGGAAGTGACATCTGGTGGGGACTGACCTGGAGAAGGAAGAGGGGGAGGCGGCGGTGGTACCTTATGGGGGTCTTGGCTTCCTTTGAGGTGCCAGGGCTAGGCTTGGTGCTGGCCAAAGTGCTGACCGTCATCTCTAGGCCAGCTGTCCCTTCCTAGAGGGAGGCTAATTACCTCCAAGAGCTCAGTGTAGGGACTATTCTGCCCACAGCCATTCACGGCCAGACCCTCGCCTAGTTCCAGCAAAGACTGGCAGCACTGTCTCTGAGACCAGACCAGGGGGTGGGTAGAGGTTTCTGGAGCTGACTGTTTCTCTGTCACACACCCCTGGATGCTGTGACCACTACACAACCTAGGCATGTATCTCCAACAAGAGTGATTCCTGGGCCACATGTGGCTACGTCCTTGGTGGCGTTTTTTTGTGGTGGGCTTGGAAACTGGGGTTCAGAGTCATGAGAGTGCCTGGATCCCCCCTTTTGCTGGCTTTCTCTCCCTTCAGAGGGAGACGGTGGACAGCAGAATTCAGAGCCAGCCCTAACAACCCTTCCTGTCCTGCAGTGGGCACTATCCTCTCTCAGGCCCTCATCCCTTTGTCAGTCAACAACTCCTTCGCTCCTGTGTGGTACGAAGTTCCCGCCCTCAAAAAGACAGGACAGGCGGTGAACCTGGTGACCATTCAGTGCTGCTGACTGTGAGATGCTTATAACCAGGAATGCTCGTCTGAGGGTGACTTAGTGGGATCCCCCAAACTCAGGAAGTCAGGGATCTGGGAAGGTGACCTTTGAGCTAAAAATGATGAGGTTCTAGCAAAAGCCACAGAAGAGCTGTGCAGACGCCCTGAGGTAGGAGGCGGATGCTGGTGCACGCTGGGGAGAGGACCTCTGGCCGGAGCAGGGAGCGAGGACGAAGAAGCAGTAAATGAGGTTGGGAGGCAGGAGGGCACCCTCACGGGGCTGTCAGGAGCCCGCAGCCTCCCTTGGAGGCGGAGGCAGGGCCAGCGTCTGCAGACATGGAAGAGGGGAGGACTGGGGATGAGGCACAGAGGTGGGAGACGGGATCACCCCTGAGGCGGAGTCACCCCAAGAGTACTGCCACAGTGGGGTGAGAGGCCATTGCCACCGTGGTCACCAAGCAGGGCACTGGGAGCTGAGGAAGGCCAGTTCCGGGATGAGTGGTGATGGGCTAGCCCAGGCCCTGCGGGTGTGAAGTCAGCCGAAGACGTAGCCCTGCTTCTAAGGAGAGTGGAGGCTTTATTTTTTTTTAAGTGATTTGAGACGGGGTTTTTCTGTGTTAGCCCCGGCTATCCTGGAACTTGCTCTGTAGACCAGGCTGGCCTCGAACTCTAGAAAAATCTGCCTGCATCTGCCCCTACCCCAAGCACCTGGATTAAATGCGTGCACCACTGTCCATCTGAGTGAAGGTTTTTTGACAGACTGGTGACATTATGGGAAGGGTGGAGCAGGTTGGCTGTAGGTCACATGACTTCAAGGAGAAGCAGGGAGAATTGCCCCTGTGCAGTGGGGGTGGGGTGTGGGGAGGAGCTCACGGCAGGAGGTAGAAAATAAGGTAGACAGCTGTCAGGGAGACCCATGGGAGCTCATGGCAGGAGGTAGACCCATGGGTTGACCGTAGTTTAGAAGACGCCAGGCCAGGCTAGAACAGGCCAGCATTAGCCCTGCCCAGACCCACAGCCTCTGTGCTTCTGACTCGTTCTGTGTGTACACCGGGTAGGGCTGCCCTGCCCTCGCCTGTGGACACTACACAGCCCAGCATCCCAAACCCAGGGCTGAGGTTGCTGAGAGCAGATTGTAGCTCTGACCCTGGGGTCAGCTGAACTCAGGCCTGCAGCAAGGGAACTGTTTACGGGTGGTGTAGGTCCTCAGATGACCCCTCAACCCTCTCATCTTGTCCCGCCAGGCACGGGCAGTGGTTCTGTGTCCCATGCCATCATCCGTAGCATTGCCCCCACTGGCCACCTACACACCGTGGAGTTCCACCAGCAGCGGGCAGACAAGGCCCGGGAGGAGTTCCAGGAGCACCGGGTGAGCCAGTGGGTGACCGTGCACACCCAGGACGTGTGCCGCAGTGGCTTTGGTGTGACCCATGTGGCTGATGCTGTCTTCCTGGATATCCCATCACCCTGGGAAGCTGTGGGCCATGCCTGGGATGCCCTCAAGGTTGAAGGTATGTCGGTGGTGTTGGAAAGGGGGGGGTCGAGCTTCTGGGTCATCTAGAACCCAGGGAGACATGGTTCCTGTAGGCCTTGCAGTAGCAATGGGCAGGCCAGGATCCCTTTTGGTACAAAGTGAAGACTGCCTTGGACTGGCTGGAGACCACAGTGCTGGGAAATCACGGAGGCCCTGGGGCCTTGGCAACTCCACGCAAGTGCAGATAGGATCTGCATGACAGGGCAGGCCTGGATTCAATATGGAGGTCATAAGTAGTCCCTTACCCCCAGCCATTTCCTGCAGACTCCCCACACCCATGCTGTAGAGCCAGGCAGCTGGACCCTTTTAGGGAAGACTCTGGAGGCGGAGCAATAGGGAGGCCTGGAGAAGGTCGGCCCTGAGCCAGAGAGGCGGCTGGTGAGTCCCAGGGATTTTTGCCTTTTCTGGAGAAGAAGCAGGCTTGGCAGCCAGGGCTGCTCTCCTCCCAGCTCCATACAGAGGGTGGGGGGAAGCCTCTCAGGCAGGAGTCCAGGTCTTTCTGCTGCCTCAAGCTCTGCCCAGATCTCTGTGTCCCTCGTGTCTGCTGAGGTGGCTTAGAGCTGGGAGGGGAATCCTGGGAGTCCACACCTGAAGGTTCCCTGACCTGAGGCAGGGCCCTGGTTGGTCCAGCCCCGTTGAGGTCTAAGCAGGTGAGCCTCCTTGCAGAGTCATCCAGAGGCGCCCGTGCCTGGTTTTTGGTCCCCTGTCCCCTTTTCTGTGCTGTCCCCAGATCTTCCCGCTCTGGGTGCTTAGGCCTTTTTTTGTGTGCCTGGGGTTTTCTAACACGACCTGTCTCTGGTAGCTTCTGGCCGTTCGGGATGTGGTGTGCTCTGCTCTTGAGTGACAGTGGACTCTGTACTGACATCAGGCCAGCTCCTACTTCATACCTGCCAGGTGTCCAGTGTCAGAGAGCACTGTGGGTACCAGGCCCAGGGACATTTGTACACACTCCTCCCCTGCCCTGACTTGCTCGTGATCCCCTGCCAAGACACAGATAGGGCTCTCTCGCACAGTCTCGCTGCAGGCTGTGAAGCCTGTGGGCTGCCCCAGTGGGAGGCAGCAGGGAGGGGCTCAGACTGTGCTCTCTTTAGGCTCCTCCTGTTCCCAAGAGCCAACGACAGCCTCTAATTTCCTGTGACAGCAGCAGCCTACACACCACCTCATGCTACCCTATTGTTAGAGCTATTCTTGGGCCTGGCTCTGACAACCCTGACCCCCAGCCTTCCACTGCCTCCTGTAAGGCAGGCTGGCTGTGCCTGCTGGCAGCCAGGGAAACCCAGGCGTCTTGGGTTTGGGCTTGACTGCTGACCTGGGCTCCTGTCCCAGTGTGGGTCCTCAGATCCGGTGCAACTTTACAACTTCCGAGGTCCCTGCATAGCTCCATAGCCTACCGGCTCACAGTCTGCAGGCAGGCAGCCTCAGGTCCGGGGTGGGTTGTGGGAGCTATTGACTCTGCCCTCTGACCCCGTGTCTTGCTCCTACAGGTGGGCGCTTCTGTTCCTTCTCTCCATGCATTGAGCAAGTGCAGCGCACATGCCAGACACTGGCAGCCCATGGCTTCACAGAGCTCAGTACCCTGGAGGTGCTTCCCCAGGTCTACAATGTACGCACCGTCAGTCTGCCCCTGCCTGACCTGGGGACCGGTGACTCAGAGGTCAGCGTGGGCTCCGATGCCAGCCCCTTCCGTAGTGGCACACCCATGAAGGAGACTGTGGGTCACACTGGCTACCTGACTTTTGCCACCAAGACTCCAGGCTAGCGGGCCTGGGCAGGAGTATCACATGCAAGCAGGGAGGCCAGAGGCTGCCTTATATGGCCAGCCGCTGCCTGTGGGCTTGTTTAAAAACAGATGGCAGGGTGGATGAGGCAGGGGCCTCCTAGGTGGTTGAGGGGGGTGAGTAGGCTGGCCCTGTTGAGGAGGGAGGCATTCCTGTCTCCCGAGAGGGAAGCTCCACCTCATCACTGCTCTTCTCAAGCTCTGTCCTGGCCGCTCTTTGTTGTCAACAGGGAGTTTCCTCTGCCATAGGCGCTCCTGGGTGTTGAGACCAAATCGTGCAAGTTGAAGGCCAAGGAAGCTCCGGGCACTGCCCGAAACCTGGGCTGACCTACAGGGGCATGGACTATCCTATCCCTGGTCCAAGGCTCTAGCCACTGGTGGGCCAGAGCTCAGGGGAAAGCTGTAGTTGAGCTAACCCGGAAAGCCTGCCCCTGCCCTCATCTCTGTACTTCCGCAGGGCTGATGAAGGGACCAGACTGGCCTAGGGGTCAAAGGAGTTACCTCATAGGTCTTGAGTGCTGCACAGGCCATGTGTGAGCATACTTGTACCCAGAATCCCTGGCGTGCCATCGTCGGTGCCATCATCCTGTGGAAAGGGAGTCCAGTGGCACAGGTCTGTGTCCTGTCAAACCCCTGCTGGAGCTAGGGTCAAAGAGCTGGTGCATGCCTAGGAGCCCTGGCTGCAGACTGCTGCATGTGCCGTCTTGGGCCTAGCGTTCAGACCTGGTGTGTGGCCAGCTTCAAGGGAGTCTCAGGGCCCCGATGGATCGTATTGGCGTGGGGCTGCCCCGCAGCTGCTCCTGCTGCATGGAAGCAGCCATTGGCCCCTGAGGTACCTAGTGGACCAATAAGTGTTTCGTCCTGCTGTGCTTTGTTGCCCTGGCTGCTGGAGGGCTTTGCGGTCTCAGCTGTTGTCCTCCGGGCCCACTGCCCCACACTTGGCGTCCTGACCTCTGTCGCTTCTTGTCCACCCTGAGTTGGTACTGTGGGGTTAAGCTCTAGGATAGCAGCCCAGGACGCTTCACAAAGGCGCAGTGTATGGCCACCTCCACCCAATGCAGAAAGGGCCTCTTGTTCCGAGAGGTCTCCACTGCTGGGTCTCTACTGCTTAGGGCACCAGGCCTCCCTCTGCTCCTGACCTACACTCCGTCCCACATTCCCTCGAGGACCTAACCCAGCGTTCCTGGTGGTGACTTCCCAGGCTGCCCGCTCCCTGTGCAGTGCAACTCTAGGTCACCTGTGGATGGGAATTCTACAGCCCGAGAGGTCTGTGTGCCCTCAGAGCTATTCAGGGCCCCTAGGACCGATAGCCTCTAGGGCCTGCTCTTGGCTTTTCCTTAGTGCCTGGTTTGGAGGGTGTGAGGGGTCCCTGGGCCATGTCCAACAGAGAGTGGAGGAGTGCCAACAGTTGCTAAAAGGTGGATGGCCTGTGCACCTTGGTGCCCTGCTTACCCTGACGCGCACGCTCACACACACGCACGCACGCCAGCACGCCTGCACTGTGTCCTTGGGGAAGGGCTCCCAGACAACAGTAAAGTCTAGAGATGGCGTTGCCTTGCAGCAGCAGCAGGCTCTGCTCAGTGTGGACTCGGGCCGACAGTGAGGCCCAGGATGTCTTTTTTCCACATGGGGCTCTAGGAGTAAATGTCTTGTGAGCTACCAAGGCCTGGGTGAGGGACTGTGACGAAGGCTGGAAAAACCCAATCTGCCTACTGTTCTGTGGAATAACCAAATTCTGCTTTTGTGGTCTGAGCCTTGGAGGGCTAACCCAACCCCACTTCACCTCTGAGTCCGGCTCAGACTAGAGCTCCACCTGACAGTGAACTTAGCCATGAACCCCGAGTCTCTAAGGCTCTGCTCAAATCTTCCTCATTTGTTTGTTTTTGGAACAGGGTTTCTCAGTGTAGCCCTGGCTGGCCTTAAAATCAGAGATGTGCCTGTCTGCCTCCTGTGCTGGAATTAAAGGGGTGCACCACCATGCCTAGGTAGATCACCCCTTCTTGGTTGCTTTCCCAGACTATCCACTTTCACCCGGGAACATTCAGCTCAGCCATCCTCTGTCCCACACCCTACTGATCTTTCTCAGCATGGAAGCCCCCAAGACAAGGTCTCAGGTCCTACAGACCTGGTCTGACTCCCATGGTTGAGTCCTGTTAGCCAATCTGCCTGACTCAGAGCCTCCAGACTCATCATGGGTCAAGATCCTAGGCACTCCCCATCCAGCCTGACTCCTGTGTGTGGCCCTCTGGTCTCCCTTCGATCTTTTCCCGGGTCACAGCCTCCTGCGCTGTGATTGGGACATCCGAACACCTCCTTGGCAGAAGCCTGACTTGCAGCGCCAGCCCCGGGGGCCCAGATGCACCCCTAGGTGCAACTCTGCTTCACCTGCTAGAAGCTCCTGGGCCAGACAGTCAGTTTCTCCCAAGGGGTACACCTCCCCCTTAGCCACCTGTGAGCTGTGCCCTGGCATCTAGTGTTGGATCTCCAGGTGAGCAGTGGGTAGTATAGGTTCAAGGTACACCTCTGCCTCTCACATTGCCTCAGCGTCCTGGAACCTCCTGACCATTGTACTGTCTGTCATCTCCCCGCAGCCTGGTCTGCGTCCTGGTAGCAGGCAGACTGCCAGGGGCCTCCAAGGAGCAGCGCTCCATGCCCACCTCTGCAGATGCTACACAGGTGGGAGGGTGAGACTCTGCCCAGTTTGCACATCAGAGGCCAAAGGGGACGGGCTGGCGAGCACCCTGTGGACTTGAGGCTAGCCTAGGCTGCTCTTGACCAATTAAATAAGAGATTCCTTGGGGAGGGGCCTCCATCAGGCCCGAGCTCCTGAGGTCAGGAACATCTGGGAGATGTCAGTGCCCAATGTGCACAGCTGGCCTTGCTTGAACCAGACACACGGTGTGGGAGCAGCAAGAGAAACTGCCTGGACTCTGCTATGCGGGTAGTGGTTCGAAAGACCTCCCAGGGAAGGGGCTGCAGGCTTATGGAGTTGACCTGACAGCAGAGCTCAGTTGGGCAGTCTGCCCTTAGCCATGCAGGGCTGGGGTATGCTCGTCTCTGGATATACCCTCAGGCTGCTGGTGAGTCACCTCCCTGCGGGGATGAGACAGGGACTGCCTCGTGGTTTATGGAGTGTGTCATGTCAACGATTGGGACAGTGAGCTTGCAAAACGCCACAGTGATAACTACTGCCTGCTTGAAGAAGCTCTCCTCAGGGAGGGGGGGAAAGGGGCTGGCAAGATGGCGCAGCAGGTAAAGGCAGGCTCTTGCTACCAAACTGAGAAACTTACTTCAATCTCTGGGGCCCACAGGGTGGGTGGAGAGAACCAGTTCTGTCTGATTTCCACGTGTGCAGCATGGGACACGCAAGCATCCCTGCCCCTCCCTGCAATATAAATAAGCAGAAAAATGTGTGTGTTTGTGAGTGTGTGAAAGCCAGAGAACAGCCATAGGTAACTGGGAATGCCACCCGCCCTCTTTAAGATAGGGTCCCATTCATCTGGAGCTCACCAGTCCGGCGAGATTGGCTGGTCAATAACCCCAGGAACCCCATGTGTCTTCTCTAGGATTATAAAGTCACTACACGTTCAGTTTGAGATTGATTCTGGCATTCAACCTGAGACACATGCAGCCGAGCTGTCCCCGGCTCAGCCCTCTCTTGTCTGTCTGTTTGAGAATCTAAGGCCAGAACTTGGGTCCCACCTCTGGTCCGTCTGAGACAAACCATTGTGCTCCAGGCAGGCACTCTGAATAGCCTGTGCACTTCTGGGGGCCTTGAGTCATCAGGACCATGGGAGAGAAAGTCGGGGCGTTGGTCGCGCTTTTATTGTGTGTTGAAGCTGGCTGGCTCTGCCTGGGCTGGGCGTGAGCAGACAGTCTCTCTCTTGACCTCTACGATTTCCCAGGGAGTGTACTCACTAGCTGCTGCTGTGGACATGCTGGATAACAAGTAACCCCGAAGGGGTGAGAACGGCAGACAGACCTGCTCTTGAGAGGCCTGGGGTAGAGAGAGCGGATGTCAGCTTGCTGCTGCTGCTGGCTGCCTCTCCTGTAGGACTTGTGCCAGCATCACGAGCTTAGGTACAGCGGGTCCAAGCCCAGCTGCATTGGGGCTGTCAAAACCTTGTTGTGTCCAGAGATGCTCTTCTAGTCCCTGGTTGAAGCATTTCCTGTGCCTGGAGCAGAGAGAGACCCTGAGAATAAGAAGGAATAGCAGGTCACTGGCTGAGAGATAAAGGAGCAAGTCCTTTCTGCCCTTCCCTAGCCCTGGGATGTAGCTGCAGAAGCCAGCAGCCTGCGACCAGGCCACAGGGCCCGTGGGCTCTGCATGGGGGTCATCAGCAAATAGGGCCGCATCCATGTAGAGCAGCCTGGCCAGCCTGCTTTGAGTCTGTTGCCAGGACGAGGGCGTTTCAAAGTCAGGCTGCCTCCAAGGCGGGATCTTCAGCGGGAGGGAATAACTTGGCTCCCACCAGGCTGAGAATAGCTCAGAATTGGGTCACGCTCACCAAGCACTCCGGTCACAGCCTCCAGCCTTTGACAATAATCAGCTTTTTCCCCCGACATCTGTTCCTTCACAGAGGGGAGAGGCAGTCATGGGCATGTTTTTAGGAGAATGTGAGAGGAAGCTGGTTTTGATGGACAGCTGCGCACACACAGCCCCTCTCTCAACACACACACACTCACACACACATACACACACACATACACACTCACACATACACACACACACCACACTCACACACACACATACACACACTCACACACACACACACCACACACACATCACACACACACACCACACACACAGCCCCTCTCTCAACACACACTCACACACACCACACACACACACAGCCCCTCTCTCAACACACACACACCACACACACACACTCACACACACACCACACACACAGCCCCTCTCTCAACACACACACACTCACACACACCACACACACAGCCCCTCAACACACACACACACCACACACACACAGCCCCTCTCTCAACACACACACTCACACACACACACACACACACACCACACACACACAGCCCCTCTCTCAACACACACACACACAGCCCCTCTCTCAACACACACACACACACACACATACACACTCACACACACACACTCTCACACTCACCACACACACTCTCACACACTCACACACACACACACACACACACACACACCACACACACACAGCCCCTCTCTCAACACACACACACACACTCACACACACACCACACACACACAGCCCCTCTCTCAACACACACACTCACACACACACCACACACACAGCCCCTCAACACACACCACACACACACACAGCCCCTCTCTCAACACACACACACACACCACACACACACACTCACACACACCACACCACACACACACAGCCCCTCTCTCACACACACACACACACACACACAGACACACAGCCCCTCTCTCAACACACACACACACACACACAGCCCCTCTCTCAACACACACACACACACACACACACACACACACACACACCACACACACACACAGCCCCTCTCTCAACACACACACACAGCCCCTCTCTCAACACACACACACACACACACACACACACACACACTCACACACACACACACCACACACACACACAGACATACACACACACAGCCCCTCTCTCAACACATACACACACGCACACACACAGACATACACACACACACACACAGCCCCTCTCTCAACACACACACACACAGCCCCTCTCTCAACACACACACACACACACACACACACAGGCTGGCTGGCAGCTTCAAGCCCTCCTGCCCATCCTGTCCCTCTCTCCATTCCCAGACCCCTCAGACTCCTGCTCAAACTAAAGTAACCCTGGTGCCCCTCACAGGTGAGGATAGGGGTTATCTGGGGGGCCAGAGCCTGGGTCTGCCCCTGCCTCTGGGCAGCCTAGCTTTTTGTATCCTGAGAGTTTGATGGTCTACAGAGTAAATTAAAGGACAGCCAGCACTACACAGAAACTCTGCTAAAGAAAGAGAGAGAGGGAGGGAGGGAGGGAGGGGGCGAAAGGGAGGGAGGGAAGATGGAAAGAGAGAGAGAGAAATGAGGAAAGAAACAAGCTTTGCAGGGTTGTTTACAGCCCGATGTCAGGGAGGCATTTTCTCAATGAGAAACCCTGTCTCAGAAAACCAAAGAAAGGGCGGAGAGTCTGATGTTTCCAGATCCCCAGGGCTCTGTCTCCTGCGTATCGTGTTCCTCCACACCAGGTTTCCAAGTGTTTCCTTTCATAATGCAGCTACCAGGAAACTTGAAATGAATTGGTTCTTTTCTTTTTCTATTTCTTTGTTTTGATTTTGTTGTTGTTTGTTTGTTTTTTTGAGATAGGGTTTCTCCGTGTAGCCCTGATTGTCCTGAAACTCATTCTGTAGACCAGGCTGCCTCTGCCTCCCCAGTGCTGGGATTAAAGGCGTGCACCACCACCGCCCGGCTGATTTTTGAATGTTTAAGGCATAGCAACTTTTTCATGGTGCTTATGGTGGGTGTTTGTGGGAGGATGGGGTGGTCCAGCATTACCTCAGAGTAACCTGGATGAAGGGCTAGAAGGGAGGGATAGTCAGGCCCTCGTGATGCTCCTGTCTCGGCTGTGGCACTTCTGTGGTAAAAGGCTCCAAGCCTCCCTTTCATTAGGAACCCCTCAAGCCGGGGAACGTAGTCACAGGCTGTGGGGCGGATGGAAGGGGTGACCCTGTCCCCAGCACAGGTCACTCACTGAGTGCACTCATCCTCTCCTCCAAGTGTGGCTGTGGGTCAGGGCGCCCCAAAACACCCTGGCATCCTAGCCCCGCAGGGTAGAGGAGAGCAGGGGCAGGGGACAAAGGGCCTGGAGACACTTGTCTGTCCTCACGCTCGTCTCTTCCGTTAATGGAGGCCTCCTGTCCCCTTCTATCACCCCTGTAGCTCAGCCTCCAACAACAGGTCTGTTCCTCCTGAAAAAAATGTGTGTGTTGGGGGTAGGGGAGGGTCTACCTATGAAGACGAGACTGGCCTGTAACCCACAGTCCTCCCTCTCTGCCTCCTGAGTGCTGGGATTACAGGCATGAACTACGCTCGGTCAGAAACCCACTTTCCTGCAGTCTGGTGTGTGGACTGTAGAAGTCTCCCATCATCTGCCCTGCGCCAAGCGTCCTGACTGGCCTGTGTTCCTGTGGGACTAACTTGGCACCTGGTAGTCTCTCCTAACCCCACTTTAAGGCACCCGAGCAGGCACTTCCTGTCAGATGCACCGCGTTTGCCCAGAGTGAGGATGTCAGCAGGGAAGCAGGCGAAAACCGAGTGTGGCTGCCACAGGAAGTCACACCGTGCCAGGAGCCAGCCCCGGTGGCCAGCAGTGGCCGGCTGCTTGCACTGGCAGCCTCTGTCACACAGCACTGGGCTTACACATCACTGGCTACTCTGAGCTACTGGACATGCGTGGGGTAAATCATCACCCTCCCCCAATCTGGCTCCTCGTGGAAGCTTGGGCCTGCTGAGGTCCCGGCCTTGCTGAGGAATGCAGGCTCCCATTGTGGGTGGTAGGGCCAGCTGTGGGGCGGAAACAGTGGGGGCGACAGGACGAGCAATGGACATGCAGGGCACCAGGCAGTGAGGAGGGGACAGTTGGGGAGGGAGACGGGGCACTGGTGTCCCCTTACCCCAGCTCTGCAGTGGCTCTTCCCCTCAGGAGGCCCAGACAACTGGCTGTGGGCCCTTTGATGCTAAATGCCATCTTCCCTGTAAGGGCCACAGGCCAGCTCCGCACTGGGCTCTTGCAGTCTGTCTGGTGGTGGCAGCCTGCCCTACACTCCTCCTCCTTTGTCCCCAGCCCCTCTGGTCCCAAGGGAGCACACCTGGCATTCACTCCCAGAGCCTGGCTTGAAGGAGTCAGGGAGCCGAGGATTCGAGTTGTAGGTGGACCCATGCCTCCGCTCAGGCCCTCCACAGGAGATCCTTGGTGTGTGTGGCTATCCTTAGAATCAAGCAACTGCCGTTGTGGGGAGTTCAGCCACACCCTGCAAGCTGCAAAATGATTACCCCAGCTGGGCTTGCTGACTGTTTACTCATGGAAGGATGGACCCTTATCTGGGCCTCCATCTGCTCTTACCTGAGCTGTAAGCAACATTACCTTAATTGGCCTCAGGCGTGCCTGCAGTATACAGGCCAGGGCAGACTAGGAGGGCTGGCTCGCCCCCAGGAGAGAGAGGAGGAAGCCCAAAATCCATGGGTTCCTTAGAGTGACTGCTGGTGGCATCATGCCTCGGTTGTCATTAGGACCAAAAGAAGATGGGTGGGCACTGTTCAGCTTCCGCTTGGGGAGGGCCCTTGGCAGCAGCCCCCACCTGAGCCCGAAGGCCCAGACCGAGGCAGTCTCCTGTTCCCGGCTTCTGCCTGAGGCAGAGAAGTCTTCATCCCTCAGGCTTCGTTTCCTCCTTCCATGGAGACTGCTAAGGTGTTCTGGAGTTTGGGTGCTGCCAACTATTGGGGGGCTGTTACTGTGCTGTGGATCACCCCAATCTGCCCCCAGCCCCACCCATGACAATCTCTGAGCTTCTAGGTGTGGTCACCAGGTCTTTATCCTGGAAGCTCCCCCCGACACTCACTCTCTCTCTCCTCTCTCTCTCTCTCTCTCTCTCTCTCTCTCTCTCTCTCTCTCTCTCTCTCTCTCTCTCTCTCTCTCTCTCTCCCTCCCCTGAATGAGTTCTCAAAAGTCCCCACATCCCTGCAAAGTCCCTGCCTCCCCCCACGTCCGTCTCCTCAGCTGACCTGCATGTTCCTAGGGAGATGTGGCCATTTCCCCATCTGGAGCTGGGCATGTAGTAGCACCCAGCGGATGGACAGCAGGGCCTGGCAGGCACTGTGCATCATGGATGTTCTGGGGACACCTCCTCCCTGCTGTATTAGAACAGCTATTGCCACCTGCCTGGCCCCATTGTTGGTCTCCCTGGTGCCAGAATCCTTGGTGCAGCCTCAGAGAGGGTTTGCTTATGGCCACTGAAGGACAAGCAGAGACTCCAAAGACTCCGTTCAGAGCTGGGGCTTTGGGGGAAAAGCTTATTCTCAGCCTTAGTCTCCCAGGCCCATGTGGACCGGGGTACACTCAGGAGCTCCCCACCTGGGCTCCTGGAGCTCCTTGAGAACTGCACAGGAAGTGTCCCCTCCCTCCACTTAGACCTGCACACACTGCACGTACATACCAGTGCCCCAGGCCAGGGAGCTCTGGCTTCGGCACTTTCTGGGTAATTGCCCAAGAGCCGGCCTCTGGCCGAGACAGCAGCTACCCCAAAGGCTCATCTAACCTCGGCTACCTCCCTCAACCACTTCTGGAGCTGTCTGCTTGTCCTGAGGACCTGGACAGACAGGTATACAAGTCCCTGACCAGGCCTCTGGCCTAGCCTGGTCTCTGGGTGGAGCCCACCCCAGCAGGTGCTGTTACTTGATCAGGGGTAGGTGGGGGGAGCTGTGTGAACTTTCCAGAGAGGAAACCACGGCCCCTCCAAGGCTGAACTGGGGCCTTGTGGGGTCTCTGGGAGACCAGGCGCTCAGGACAAAGCGGCAGCTGCCGGTGGGGTGGGGTGGGGGCCCTGAAGCCTTTGTGCCTGTGGGGCCTCTCCTGGTGACCTCACCATCCACCAGAGAAGGGCCCTTTCTTCCCAGAGGCAGCCCTTGGGAATCCGCCTGGGGACAAAGCCGCTGCCAAGTGGGGGACCAGCGAGTGGCTGGCCCTCCTCACGGCATAAATTAAGGGGGAGCTGAGGAGCGCAGTTGCAGCTGGTGCCTGTGAAGGGGACACATCCCCCACTCCGTGCACAGGGCGACTACCCACCCTCACTCATCCGGTCGCCGCTGTTCTTAGGGGGCTCTTGGGTGCCGGTTCAGGCTGTGTGAGTGATGATGGAGGGGGGTCTGCCAGACTTGGGGAGAACTGGAACTTGCATGTCACAACTGCCTTCCAGGCTCAGGCAGATGGGAAGATCCTGTCACAAGACCATGAGCCACAGCAACTTGGGGCTGCATAGGCCTCTGGGGGCTCCAGGAAGTCAGGAAAATATTTGCTTTTCTGTGGATAGTGTCCAGTGACACCCGTCCTTGACATGAGGCCACGGGTTTCCTGTCTCCAGGGTACTCACAAAGCCTCCTCAAGACTTGTTGGCTCTCAGCCCTGCTGCACTCTGCTGGAGACCCCACAGGGTGGGGTGGGGGTGTCACAGAGGACTAGTCAGGTCCCAGAAGTCATCCTACCGTCCTGAACTGAGCCCAGGTCTGGAGTTAGAGGATGGTGTGGGTAATCAGGGGTACGAGGGGAGAAGGCAGGAAGCCCCTCCCAGCTTGGTGACACTCTGACTGGGGGAAGGGTCACAGACACTTGGGTGCCACATTCGCCCAACACCACCAAAAATTCCAGGGATGGGACATCTGTTAATATCTTTAAAGCCGTGTGCCTCGAGTCACACAGGGGCAGGGACATTTACAGAGTGCTGGGCCCCCACACACCCACTCCTCACCCATTTATGGATGAAGGAAGTGAATCAGTCTTGCAGGCCTAGCTAGGCCAAGAGGAGACCAAAGCTCCCAGGGCACTGGGCTCCCAAAGGTCAGGGGCACAGCGTCCCTGGAGCCCCAAAGGCCCTATGCCCCCCCACCCAGCAGACTGAGGAGTGGGGGTGGGGTGTAAGTAGGCCAGCACTTTGTTCTCCGTTGCTATGGTGCCATCGCCTGCCTGTGCAAGCTTCCTTCTGGGCCTGTTCCCAGGACGCTTCGAGCCAGTCCAAGCTACAGCCCTCCCCAGCCCCGGCCAAAGCGCGCAGCCTGTCCTCAGTCAGGGACTGCTCTCAGACTCCAAGGCCCACGTTATCCCCATCCCTGCCTTGACACACACACATGCAAGTGCACACGTGTGCTTATACCTACACACACACAAGGGTGTCCACATAGACACAGCACACATACCACAAGTGCACACAAGCACACCCACGCAGCCCACACAATGCACGCTTGAACCTACATTGACATTCGCACACTGGCATGAACTCACAGGCATGCATACATACAAATGTGCACGTTACACACAGCCACACACAGACTGCTCAGTGAAGCTGGGGGAGCACCAGGTCCCAGGGGCTTAGGTTCCTTAGGTGACGCGGCAGATTGGATCTCCAGCCTCCAATACAGGGCTGCTCAGACCAGAGCGAGGGCTCAGGGGCCTAGGCCAGGGTTCATCTTAACCTCAGCCATCCACTTGCTAAGGCTCAGAAGCTAGAGGGAGGACGGGAGGGAGGGAGGGAGGGAGGACGGGAGGGAGGGAGGGAGGGAGGGAGGGAGGGAGGAGCAATCAATCCAGGATTCAAGGGACAGGAGTCTTAAATGGGACAGGGAATTGAAGCTTGGAGCAGAAGAAATTGTTAGGGCCTCAAGTCTCAGTATCACTGGGGGAACCTAGCAAGGTAGGAGCCCAGCCTCCTCCCTCCCTCCCTCCTCCCTCCCTCCCTCCCTCCCTCCCTCCCTCCCTCCCGCCACCACGCTCTCCCCACACCACAAGCCCTGGCTCTGCAGCCTCTGCCCAGCTTCGCTGCCTCTCCTACCCCTGACCCTCAGCATGGAGCAGAATGCCCGTGGGGCAGGGCGAGAGGGGGCTCCCCAGCCGCAGTGGTCTGTCAGATCACAGAGGCCATGCTGAGGGCTGTTTTCTTTCAGGGAGTGGCATTTGGTCTGGGTCATAGAAGAGGAGCCCTGGCTACCTAAAAGGGAGTGGCCAGGTGAGGCGACAGCCTGTGAAACATGGGGGGGGGCACAGATCCGCCCTTTTAGCCCCACACCCAGAGGTCACGCCCAGGCTTTGAGTCCCCGGGACCACATGGAGCTGTGAGAGAGTGGGCCAGGGATGGAGACCCCCCGGCTCCCTGCAACCTGGAGTCTTAGAGTGAGGCTGCCAGAAACGCAGGGCTGGCGCCAGCCTGTGATTGTGCATGGTGAACAGTCCTCAGCGCAGCTGGAGCCTCATCTACCTGGGCTCAGAACTGCCGCCCAGGTGGTGTCACAGCCACCCCGTCCACCATCAGCTGGGACAGGTGCACGCAGCAGGGGAGGCCCAGGCTTGGCAGCTGCACTGGCAGGCTGGGCCCTGTCCATTTTTGGTGGCCTGTGCTCAGATTTAAAAAAAGAAGAGAAAACAATGAAAAAACCGGCCTTGAGCGCCTCCTGGTGGTCACAACTGAAAGAACAAGATAGGCTGAGGAATCCTGAAGGACCAGGTATGCGTTTTTGAGGGTGCTCCAAGGTCAAGGGCTCTACCCTCAGAAGGATGATATAGGCTGGGGGCAGGGCGTGACCAGGACTGTCTCTGCACACCCGGCTCTGCAAGTCCCTAGCAATGGGGGCTTAGGAGACAGCTGAGCCCGAAAGGAGCCCCGGCTTCCATCCCTCCCTTTAGAGGGCCAGGCCTCTTCCAGTCACGGTTCACAAGAAAGTCACCTGACTGACTGGGCCTGGGGAAGGAACTCTGTAATACTGCCTCAGGAATCTGGTGTAAGGGGACAAGGCCTGTCAGAGCAACAGAGTGGCTTCAAGGCCCGGCTAGGCAACCTAAGACTCTGTCTCAGGAAAAACAAAGGTGGTTGCTGGTGTTCCCAGTGGTAGAGGGCTGGCCTGGCAGAGGCAGGAAGCCATGTTTCCATGTAAGCATGAGGAAGGATGCACGATGGAGACAGAGGCTGGGTGACCAGCCTCGGACGAGCTGAGTGCAGGCTGTTGCCCCTGGCAACACCGGGCTGGAGATGGGCTGTGCCCATGGCTCCTTCCTTTTTTGCTTTGTTTTTGTTCATTTGGTTTCTTTGTTTTGTTTTTTGGCTTGCTATTTTTCAAAGATTTCCAGCTGAGCATGGTGTATGCCTTTAATCCCATCACTCGGGAGGCAAAGGCAGTCCAGCCTGATCCACAGAACAAGTTCCAGGACAGCCAGTGCTACACAGAGAACCCTGTCTCAGAAAAAGCATTTTATTTTATATGTATGGTGTTTTGCCTGCTTATCTCTCTGTGTACCCACGGTGCCGGGTGCTGGTGGAGGTCAGAAGAAGGTGGTGGGTCCCTCAGGACTGGAGGTAGAGATGGTTGTGAGTTGCCATGTGACTGCTGGGAATCGAACCTGGGTCCTCTGGAAAAGTAGCCAGTGTTCTTAGCTCCAGGCCCTCCACCCTTCCATGGCTGATTTAGGGATGTTTCTGGTTCAGAATATAGACCTAGTCCTTGGTGTGCCCGTAGCCCAGAGGCCCCAGGGACCCAGGTTTGCAGACTCTCAGCCGACCACGTGGCTGGCAGCTCCTTCCCTTTCACCTGGCACATTTGTGGCATCGAGTCAGGACCCATGCCTGCCTCGTCAGAGGACCTACCTCACCCCTACACTCACAACCTCACCCCTACACTCACAGCACTTCCTGTCTGCAAGCGTCACAGGTTTTGATGAGCTGGGACCTAACCCATCTTATGTCATCAGGGTCTAAGGTGGCTCTTCCAGGCAGGGGGCTGCAACTGGGCTGCCTGGAGGCACTTGCTGGGCTCTTCCGCTTACTCGCAAGTCAGGAGCCGACTCTTCCAGGGCCTCCTATGACCAGGTAAAAACCTCCCCATCCTCCACCGAGGCTCTGTAGCCAGAGCCAGCCTCTGCCCTTGTGAGCAGGGCCAGACAGCTGCTGTGGCTCGGGCCTGAGTTGGGGAGGGCCATGGGGCCCACTGCGGGCAGATGGCTTTCTCCTATGCTTCAGTCTGCCATCTGGACCCCGGGCACCTTGCTGTGTGGGTCTCCCCTACCCCAGGCCTAGCCAGGAAGATGAGGAGACACAGAACGCCACAGTGTGCACACCACATGGCCTTTTCTTCTTATTTGCCACCATGGCCAAGCGCTCCCTGAACCAGGGTGAGCGAGGAGGGAGACTAAGGAGTCCCCACTGCAGAGTGATTGAAGCCTCTTGCCAGCTGAAGTCAAGTCAAGAATGCTTAGCCAGGGCTGGGCATGGGGCACCTTTAATCCCAGCACTTGGAGGTAGAGGCAGGTGAATCTCTGGGTTTGAGGACAACCTGGTCCACAGATAATTTCCAGGACAGCCAGGGCTACACAGAGAAGCTCTGTCTCAAAAAACCAAAATTAAAAAATTCTGGCAAACAGCAAGATTTTCTATGAAAACAGTACTGTCTTTATGTAGGGCGATTTCAGATAAGAACGGGTGTAACTCCGTTGGTAGAGGGCGTGTCTAGCATGCATGAAGCACTAGGACCAGTCCTCAGTACTATATAGACTGAGCATAGTGCCACAGATTTGTGATCCCCGGGGGGAAGGGGGAGGCAGGCAGGAGAGCCCCCAGACGCTTTCGGGACCCCCAGCACTGTCCCAAGCAAGGTGGAAGGTGAACTCTAAGCTGGAGGTTGTGCTCTGAATTCAGACGGGCCTTGGTATAAGCGTGTCTGCACTCACAATAACTTATGGTACCCATAGCAGAATAAACAAGTTAAAATAATGATGAACCACGCATAAGGCCAGGCCTGAGGGGATAGCGGCCTTTGCATATAGAGCCTAGTTGCTTCCCCGATATTTTCTAGGACTCTCAAACAAGACCACTAGCCTTGGTGTAGAAACAGCTTCTCTCGTGGCCTGGGCTTTCAGCTCTAACCCACCCCATACACACCCGAAACCACTGATCCATTTAATGAGAATGGTGGTTCCTTAGCAACCGTCTGAGCTGTGAGGAAGCCACGAAAACTGTTCCTTAAGTGAGACTCCCGAGAAGCCCACAAGCACACCAGAGTGCCTCTTACCTGTTCCCTGGGGCCTTCTCTGTCAACCCCAGTGCTTAACGCTTGCTTTAAAATTTCCTTCCCAGTGAACTCCAGCTCTGCCCCGCACTGGCTGGCCCTGAAATTCCTTTTTATTAAGAATCCCTACTTCAGGGGCTGGAGAGATGGCTCAGAGGTTAAGAGCACTGACTGCTCTTCCAGAGGTCTTGAATTCAATTCCCAGCAACCACATGGTGGCTGACAACCATCTACAATTCAATCTGGTGTATATGTAATAAATAAATTAAAAAAAAAAAAAAGAATCCCTACTTCAGGCCGGGAGTTGGTGGCGCAGGCCTTTAATCCCAGCACTCGGGAGGCAGAGGCAGGTGGATCTCTGTGAGTTCGAGGCCAGCCTGGTCTACAAAGTGAGTTCCAGGACAGCCTCCAAAGCCACAGAGAAACCCTGTCTCGAAAAAACCAAAAAAAAAAAAAAAATCCCTACTTTACCCAAGTGAGTGACGCAGGCCTGTGTTCAGCTGCCGACGGGCCTTGACTTCTAGAACATGGCTTTCTCAGCCTCTGCTCTCTCCTGGCTAATCGTGTTTGTTGTAAAGCTAGGCTTGGGCCCCTTTGTCTGAACCTCTCCTGACCTAGGACAGCCACAAGTGTTGTTTCAGACCTAAACTATTTGTCCAGGGAGCTCCAGATGAGCAGGGTGAAAATGCCTGCCACCACAGCCTGGAGACGCTCCAAGCCACAGACCCTCTGCCCTCAGTTTACATCCTTGGGGAGGGGGCTGGGTAAAGGAAGCAAGCTTAGGAGACGGCAAACATGGGCATTGCTGGAGGGGAGCAGAGGTGGGCAGGTCTAGGGGAGACCTGCCCTCCCACAGCAGAGGCTGTGTGGCCAAGGTCCCCAAGATCGATACTACCTCGGTAGCTTATGGATGTAACCATCCAACAACCCATTAGTGATGACCCTGTCTGTAGACAGGAAACAGGTGCATGGGGAGACTTCAGGCACTTGGGGGTATCCCACCTGGGAGGTGGCAGAAACCAAAATGGGGTGAACCACGCTGTCCTGCGGCCTGGCAAAGGTCACTGGTCCCTGCTCTTTATTGCAGCCACGGTGAGACACAGAGGAGACACAGACTTGCGTGGTTGCTGCAGTCCTGGATCCTCCCCAGAAGGCCCCCCAGCAAATCAGCAGTGGGCATGTCCCTGAGTCATGGGGGCAGGCATTGAGCCCAGCTGCCCTGTCGACCCGCCAGGCCTGCAGCCCTAGACTCCAGGGAGGAAAACAAACCACGCTATTGCACAGTGGAACCACTGTAAGGCAGCTGGGCACGGTGGCGCACACCTTTAATCCCGGCACTCAGAGGCAGAGGCAGGAGGATCTCTGAGAGTTGCAGGCCAGCCTGGTCTACAGAGGATGACCTGGGCTACACAGAGAAACCCTGTCCCAAGTTAAGAATGGATCCACCACAAGAAGACAGAATGGGAGTCTTGTGAGTGGGGAGCTGGTGGCTGCGGAGGGAAGCGGGAGGCTGGAAGGTGGGCTCTGGAGGGAGGAGCTCAGTGTCGCCGAGCAGACAGGCCCTACCCAAGGTGGCTCTCAGGCACTGACGTGTGTTCTCAGACACCAGTCCCCCCATACTGCCACTTGCCTGCCTCTCGCTTCCAGGCATGGCTGACCCTTCCTTCCTAGTGGAAACTCCAGGATCTGAAGTGACAGACACCTGCATCTGCCCACCAGACAGCCACTTGGGGCTGAAGCAGCTGTGGGTAGAATCTGGGCTCCTGAGGAGAAGAGCCGCTGTGGGCTGGGCCGTCTGCGCAGGCTTGTGGAATGGCGGGATAGGAAGTAGGACGTCCTGGAGCTCAGGGCTCACGTGTCACATGAGTCAGGGCAGGAAGCACAGGGGAAGTTTAGCCTTGGATCCTGTTTAGTTTTGGTTATGTACACCCCCTCCCGTAATAATGCACCTGGCAGCCTAGCTCCCTTGCCTGCACACACATACACTCACACACACACACACACTCACTCACACCCACACACACTCACTCACACCCCCCCAAACACTCACACCCACCCACCCACCCACACAACTCACTCACACACTCACTCATACACACCCACACACTCACTCACACACACTCACACACTCACTCACACTCACACATACTCACTCACTCACTCTCACACACACTCACACTCACTCACTCACTCACACGCACACACTCACACTCACACTCACTTACACACACTCACACACTCACACACACTCACGCACACACTCACTCACACACACACTCACACACTCACACACGCACACACCCCTGTTCAGACAGTACATCTAGCAATGTCTAACCCCTGCCACTTCTGTTGGACTATACACACTCTCACCCCTGAACAATAACAACGTTTGCCTGCCTCTCTAAGAGTGAAATTTAGGGGTTTTAGTCCAGTGTTGTGTATGTAATAGGAGGCCTGGTCCAGCCTGAACTGGTTTTGGATGCACATGCTGTAAGACAAGACTGTATTTTCAGTTGAGCACGGTGTCGCACATCTATGATCCTGGCGCCCGGGAGGCAGGGAGGGGATTAAAGGCGTGTGTCAACGCAGCCACCATCACCGGGCCAAGGAATCAGTCTTAAAGAGGACAGCTTTGCCATAGTCCCTCCCTGATCACCTATCCCCCACCCCTGAAAACACTTTTTCTTGTCACAGCACAGCTATGAATTCAGCATTTTCAAGGCACAGACTTGAGTTCTAGGTGAGGTTTAAGGCTGGACCCAACCCTGCATAGTGAGGCAGCAGCACCAGAGCAGGGTGAGACTGTCAGCCCAGGACGACTCTGTCCCCAACTGAGGCACTCTGACAGGTGACACCAGAGAGCTGGACAGCAGAGAGGAGGTCCTTTGCACTCTGCGAATTCTCTGGAGCAGCATGAAGGGCCAATCAAACCTGCTCTCTGCCTAATTATTAGGCGAGTATCTTCGAGTGCCTGGCGAGTGCTAAGACACCCCAGAACAGCTCGCCCACAGGCAGGCGAGTGTCTGCTCCTACCCGGCCAGCTTGAAAGAAGGCAACCTGGCCATGGACAAGCAAGCCAGTGCTAGAATGGGGAAGGCAGACACAGCTTCAGACCTAGAGACGGGGAGGGGCGTGTGGGGTGAGGCAGCGGCCCAGGCTGCCAACGGGCTGGCTGTCCATCACCTGTGCTCACTCAGGACCTCAGAGTGACGTGTGCAGTGTGAGATTGGAGACAACCAGCAGCGTCCGTGTGGGAAGCAGGTAGCTTCAAGGAAAGGGCCTAGGTATCAAAGGCTTTTGTCATCAGTGAAGTGAGCCAGGGAGTGCAGGCCGGTGGGGATGGATGGGCAGCCTCCGGCCCTGATGCTCTGGAGAGGCCCAGGCACCGTCAGCAGTTAGAGACAAGACAGTGGGCGAGCCACAGCATTCTCTCTCCTCTCTGCCAGTGTTGACTTGGTAGCTTGGAGCAATGTGACACCTTAGCTAAATGTTCCATTCATGAATCACCTGGCCCTTTACCCTGAAGTGTGACACCTCCAGAAGCCAAAATTTAAGAGGCTCACCAGTAGCTCTGGCTCTGACAGAGACCGAGCTGTGATGTCCATGCTGCACCTTAAGTTGGTAGAATCCTCCTCTCTTAGGGACTACACACCAGCCATTGCTAGGACTTTCCAGGTGGTTGTTTTTGAGACAGGTTTTCTCTGTGTAGCCCTGGCTGTCCTGAAACTCGCTCTGTAGAACAGGCTGGCCTTGAACTCACAGAGATCTGCCTGCCTCTGCCTCCCAAGTGCTGGGATCAAAGGTATGTGCCACCACCCTTCCCCAGGTAAATTAATTTATGTAGACCTGCACTTTATTGTCCTGTCTTCTCCTGGTCACGTGACTGAGTGACGATCTCTGGATAGTATTAAAGCAGTGGCAGTAGGTTCTAAGAACTTGGAATTTATATGAAACACTGCAGGGCACTTGGCCCATAGGGACGTAATGGTAGATTAACCAGTAAAGCATCTAATTACAGCATGGGAAATTGATGGCTTCAGACACGTCCCAACCAGGAAGGGCGGAGCCCAGTCCTGCTTCCAGGGCTGGACTGGAGCCGTGCACAAGCTTGCTTGGGTGTTGCCCTGCTGCAGGGAACGCTAGTCCCATGCTCAGTTGTCCTGTGAGGCTGCTAGGCTTTCCCTGACCTACCAGATCGCAGGGTGGCCAAATCCATACAGCTCCTAGTGCAGCGGTCTCCAACCTGTGCATCTTGACTCCCTTGGGGGGTGGTCACAGGGGTGACATGTCAGATATTTACATCACAATTCATAACAGTGGTGAAATTAGTTATGAAGTAGCCACACAAATAATATATATATATATATTTGGTTCTTCGAGACAGGGTTTCCCTGTGTAGCTTTAGAGCCTATCCTGGAACTCGCTTTGTAGACCAGGCCGGCCTCAAACTCACAGAGATCCCCTGCCTCTGCCTCCCCAGTGCTGGGATTAAAGGTGTGCGCCACCAACGCCCGGCCAAAAACCTCTTTAAAAATGAGAACAACTACTGAGCTTCATTACCGCTAATCTACGGGCATTTTTTTTTTTTTAGCAAAATAAAAGCATTGAACTGAATAGGCACATTTATTCCATTTAACAGTGACTCTGTCATAAGATTTTCATCTAGATGGACAAAGAAGGAACAGAAGGCAACGCTATCCAAATTTCAAGGAAGACATGACTACTTCCAGCCATTTCTTTCTTTTCAGAAGCGGGGATGGCATGGTTTGATGCTGACAAAGGCCTTGCTTCTTTAGGAACAGATCTTCACATATGATCACAAAACTGCTACAGAGGTGAGAGTCAGACCTGCCACAGAGGAGAGTCAGACCTGCCCCAGAGGAGACTCAGACCTGCCCCAGTGGAGAGAGAGTCAGACCTGCCCCAGTGGAGAGAGAGTCAGACCTGCCCCAGTGGATAGAGGGTCAGATGTGCCCCAGTGGAGAGTCAGACCTGCCCCAGTGGAGAGAGAGAGTCAGACCTGCCCCAGAGGAGACTCAGACCTGCCCCAGTGGAGAGAGAGTCAGACCTGCCCCAGTGGAGAGAGAGTCAGACCTGCCCCAGTGGAGAGAGAGTCAGACCTGCCCCAGTGGATAGAGGGTCAGATGTGCCCCAGTGGAGAGTCAGACCTGCCCCAGTGGAGAGAGAGAGTCAGACCTGCCCCAGAGGAGACTCAGACCTGCCCCAGAGGAGAGTCAGACCTGCCCCACTGGAGACTCAGACCTGCCCCAGAGGAGAGTCAGACCTGCCCCAGAGGAGAGTCAGACCTGCCCCAGTGGAGAGCCGGAGTTAAAAAGTCCAGGAAGTTGTCCACAGTGACATACAAGGGTCCCAAGAGGGTAAGGAATGAGAGCCTGAACTTTGCTAGTGTTCTTTATAGTTGGGTCCAAGGAACTTAACAGGAGACAAAGCCTTTCCCAACAGCCACACAAGGTCATGTGACCACCTCCAGCACCCAAAGGCCACAGGTAAATCTCACTGGGGGGGGTAGCATTGAGCTTGGCAGGGCTCCAAGCTGTGCAGTGTGGGGTGGGTGTCTTTGAAGGTCACAGAAATCCACTTTTAAAGAGACAAAGTCTGCTTCAACAGGACACTGGAAGGCTGACATGTCACTCTTGGAAACAGGGAAAGGTGCACCTGAAGTGACTTCCAGGTATGAATGATTCCCCAGAGTTCACTTTAAAAACCTGCAGTCACACTTGAAGGGCGTTCTAAAGCCGTGATGCTGAGGGGCAGTCAGCACAACGGCTTTGGCCAAAAGGACAATCTAGGGACTTTGGTGAGGAGGAGCCACAGCTCTGGGGACCCGCTGTCCTGTGAACGGTACACTAATTTATTCATCCATCACACTTGTACAAGTTTGAAGAGAATTCCCTTACAAAGTTTCCTAATCAATATCGTGTGGGGGGAACCCCAAAACAACATGGCTCACCAGAGTTGAGAAGGGTGACTCTCACAGGGCATGTGATAAAATGGGGACACGGAATGGGGCTTATTAGACATGTGATAAAATGGGGACACGGAATGGGGCTTATTAGACATGTGATAAAATGGGGACACGGAATGGGGCTTATTAGACATGATGTGGGACCCGCATTGTCCAGCCACTGCAGAATTGTGGGGAATTCCTTTGTTTGCATTAATAGACAGCATAGAGCTGGGTACTTAGAAAACAGTCACAGAAACACATATGCCCTTTGAGGGTAGGGTAAAACAAACCAGGCGGTGGTGGCGCACGCTCGGGAGGCAGGGGCAGGCAGATTTTTTTTGAGTTTGAGGCCAGCCTGGTCCACAGAGCGAGCTCCAGGACAGCCTCCAAAGCTACAGAGAAACCCTGTCTCAAAAAAGCCAAATCAAACAACCCCCACCCCCATACACAAAAAGGATAAAACAAGTAATGAAACCTTTTATGCACCGAGAGGCAAATGAGGAGTCCTCAAGTCAGTGTCACCAGGCACCACAGTCTCTCTCTAGTAGATACAGGTGATGTTTAGGATGCCAGTGGCAGAGACAGGGTCTCCTGGATTACCTATGGTCTCTGGTGTCATGGTGTAACTGAGGTCATGTTAAATGGGCGTGTCTATTCCACAGGGGTAACTGACAAGAGGAATCATCTCATGCAGCCCCAGGCAGATGCCCCTCAGCTGCGGTGACCTGCCACTGGGCACAACAGGCGTCCTCCTCGGTCACAGGGAGACGACCATGGCTCTGTAAAAGGGCCACTGGCGTCATTTAAGGTCCCTAGCCTTTTTAACTAATGAGAATTTTAGTTGAGATCTCACAAGCAAAAATGAACTGAAGGCATTGAATAGCTGTTTTTACCCTTCCTCAAGCAGTCTCAAATTTTGGGTCGTTAGGTTTCATTAATCTTTTTGTGTGTTGTACTTAAGATTTCCTCCTCTCTAATGAAAAGCCTAGGGGGGACAGGTTTTTTTTTTTTTAAAGCAAAAATGTGTATGAAAAACAAGTAATTAAAAAAATGTGTATGAAAAACAAAACAAAACTGACCACCCTAACAAAAACCTCACCCCATGAGGAAGGACCAATCAGGCCTTGTAACTTAAAAGGCCAAGCTTTGTTTAGTGTAATAAAACATCTCTGTATTGTTTTTATACTTGGACTTTATTCCCAGTCAGCCTGAGTTTCCTCCTCCTCCTCCTCGTTTAGCTAGTTAGACTCTTAAATTCTGCATTTAATGCTTGCACAACCCACTTAAAAATGAGGACTACTGCCCTTCTCGTATTCCCGTTAAAACCACACAGAATCAACACAAAGCACACATTGTAAGATGATGAGCCAGATGGAAAAGTTAATGTGCTATAATGATATTCGTTTTGCAACATCAAAAGCAGCAGAAATACTGAATATAATCTGATTAAATCATAAATACTGAGATTGAATATGCACATAGAAATTACATTTAGGCTTCATGAGCCGGAAGCTCTGAAAGCAGGTAAAGTGCGAAGCAGCGGGGCAGCTCTGGCCGTCAGTACTCCCACTCGTCCGACTTCAGGTCAAGGTAGCTGAGGATGTTCTGGGCCAGCTTCACGGCCTGCTTCCTGGCCGCCTTGCACTTCTCTTCCCCCTGGGGGTCAACCGCGTCCAGGGCCAGCAGCTGCTTGGTCAGCAGCTCCTCCAAACGGATGTAGTTCTTATCAGTTCGGTTTCCACCAAATGACAGGACTTCGCCCTGGATCTCTGACAGGTTTCCAAGGACATCCCACACAGCCTTGTGTGGGGGGTTCTCCTCACAAGGGAACAGCTTCCTCTTCTCCAGGGCTTCCTTCAGGTCCAGGTACGTGATGAGGGTCTGTACTTCAATCACGGCTCTCCTCCTGGCTTCCCGGATACAGGGGTTCTTCTCAACACTCACTTCATCCAGCTGTCCAATCAGGCCCTGAAGCTCCGTCTTGGAGCTCAGGTACAATTCAGGAGGGCTCTGCGCCTGGAGAAGCTCATCTTTTATCTCTCTCATCCTCTTGAGGACCTTTTCTATCTTTAGGATGGAATGGTTCTGTCCCAGGTCAAACGCATGCGTATTGTCAGCTTCCTCTTCTAAGTCTAGGTATTTCAGTAGTTTGTTGATATCCTCCACCACCTCCCTCCGGTAATTCCTGATCTCCGTATGCCCACACACATCTAAGGCATCCAGATCCGCGATCAGCCCGGACAGCACGCACGACAGGTGCCTGCAAGTCTCAGTGCTGTCCACGCCCATCAGAAGTGCGATCAGCGTGCCCCTGGCCCTGTTCACTTCACACATCACAGAGTTGATCTTGGCGACAGAAGGGTGCACGTCCTCAGACAGTGGCAAGGACGGCTGCTGCTTCATGCAGTCCTCAATAATCTCCTGTACTGCACAGATCTTGGTCAGGGTGCGGTACCTTGCTTTCCGCAAAGAGACCTTCCCTCCGGTTTTAACATGTGTCAGCCTCAGAATGATGTCCTGGATGCCTTCCTCAAGCTCGGCAGTCACACAGTTGCCCTCACTGTAAAAGGGCACAATCTTTTCTTTCACAAGGACCTGTGCCTCCTTAAAGATGTTCTGGATTTCAATCCGGTGTGGGTGGTTTGCATTCTGCTCCAACTCTTTGAGCAGGCGCTCTGTCTCCTGCGCTGCCCTCTTCCTAGCTTGCTGAATGTCTCCTTTTCCTTCTGTGTCTACAGAGTCTATTTCAAAAAGTTGTTTTGTCAGAATCCTCTCCAGTTTCTTGTAATTCTTGTCATCCGGTAGGCCACTGAAGCCAACCACTTGCGGCTCTATACTCTTGACTTCTCTTTGGATCTCCTGAAGCCTACTAATAGAAGGGTGTTGGTTTCCCATATCCATACTTCTGTGTTCAGTTTCACAAGCACTGAAAGATGGCAAGAGTAACTTATTACCGTCCATGCAGGACTCTTAGATCAACCCACTGTAAGCCCACTTTTAAAAAGGACTAATTGGGGCTATGGAGACAGTTGTCAGTCAGCTGCCCAAGCTGGAGCTCCAGACCACATGTAAAGAAAGCCAGGGAAGGGGCTGGAGAGAGGGGTCAGTGGCTCAGAGCGCTGGATGCTCTCCAGAGGACCTGGGTTCAATCCCCAGCACCCACATGGCCGCTCTGGTCACCTGGAACTGCAGTTCCAGGTGATCAAATCCCCCTTTTGGCCTCTACAGGCACCGGGCACACATGTTGTGCACACACCTACATGCAGGCAAAACACCGATGCACATAAAATATAAAATCCAGGCAAGACGGTGCTCACTTATACTACCGATGCCAGGGAGGCAGGGAGCAAGGTTCTCTGTGGTTCACTGGCCAGCTAGCCTACCCTGATTGGGGAGCTCCGGGTGATGAGGAGCCCCGCCTCAAAAAACAAAGTAGGACACCACTGAAATGGTGTGTGTGTGTGGGGGACGGACGGACTGAACTCTGGCACCTGGGCACGCACCAACACACACAGACGGAAGCTTTTGTTATCTCACAGATTGAAAAACATACTTGAGGGAAGAGGAGATGTGACACGTCAACTCCCTCTCCTCAGAGCAGTCCGACAGAACAAAACAAACCGGCTGTGCTGCTGTGTGCCTACATGCCCGGCACTAGGGAAGCAGAGGGAAGAGAATCATGAGCTCAAGACCCGCCTGGGGCACTTAGTGAGCCCATGACTCAAAAGTAAAGCGCAAACAGGGAAACATGGCAGGGATTCGGAGAACAGACAGAAAGAAGTCTGTCCAGTCTGGGGTGGATTCTGGCTTCACCGTGAAAGTGAGCCGCATACACTTCCATACTGGCCAAGCCTGATCAGCAGCAACGTCATTTCCTTAGTTCTCGTCATCCTAAACTGCTTTTTTGGGGCCGCAGGGTAGGAGGTACCCGTGTGGAAGGTAACAGCTCTTCCACACTCCCAGGGCCACCGTCCGCCGGAGGGCCAACCTTCTCCTTTTCAGAAAGGGGAACTGAGCAACTTTCAAAGTCCTCGCCCTCGGCTTCAATTGCTCGCCCCATCCCCCTCCCGCGCAAAAAACAGAAAACAAAAACGTGACAACCGCGATTAACTGGGTCACTCGCCTCCCCGTAAGCGTGCTTAGAGCATCTCCCAGGCTCTCAGGTTTCGGTCAAACAGCTCACTTGCGGCGGGCCGGCCACAGAACTCAGCCAGTCCCGGGGGAGGGTCCAAGCCCGGCCCTCGCAGCGCTTTACCCCGGAGAGGTCTGGGTGGCGGCGGTCTTGGCAGCCGCGGAGGGCGGCGAGGTGGGAGATCGGCCCGTCACGGGGAGCGGCACCGGAGCGGGGCCCCCAGCGGCATCCCCCTCGCCCTTCCCGGCTAGGTCTCACCCGGGCAGCCGGTGAAGGGGCCGGCGGAGGCGGCGGCAGCTACTGGCCGCGGCGGCCGCTCCCGGGGTCTCGGCCGGCCCCGACGCGCCGCCGCCTGACCTCACAATGGGCGCGGGGCGGGCGCGGGCCTGCGCGGCGGGGGCGGCGGAGCCCGAGCCGGGAAAGCACGGAGCTCGCGGCCCCCCCGCTCGGCGCCGCGCTGCGCTCACCTGGGCCGCACGCGCCATCGCGCTCCTCCACTTCCGCAGCGTCGCCACCGCCGCCGCAGAGCCGGCCGCACGGCTCCGAGCCCGGGGGAAGACGCCGCCTGGCCTCGTCCCGCCGCCGCTCGGCCGCCTCTCTCAGGGAACGTGCACGGTCGGCCTCGCCGCGCGTCGCCGCGGCCTGCGCGACACTGCCGTAAAGCCGGCCCTCCCGCCGTCGCGATTCTGCCGTGCGTCGCGCAGTGCGCTGCGCGCGGGCCATGGCGGCTCTGCGGCCCGGAAGCAAAGCCCTTCGCCCGCTCGTCGGCCGTTCCTTCTCCGGCGGCGTTGGCCGGCTGGCCCGGGAACGCCGTGCGGAGCGCAGGGATGCTGCGGTAAGCCGGACGCCCGGGACGCTGGCAGGGAGGGAGGCGGCGGAGCCGACCCCGCGGGCTGCTAGGGAGAGGGCGAAGCCTGCTTATCCCCGAGCTAATTACTGTTTGCGTCTGTCTGCTCGGCTCCTGAAGTGTGCAGTTCCTCGTTTTCGCTTCGTTAAGGGAGACTAGCGTTCTGTAGACTTCACGTTGTTTGTGAATATGCTCGTAACGGCAGAGGGAGCCTGTCAGTCAGATGGAAATGTCGACTAAGATTTCAGATACAACAGTAAACAGGGCACGTGGGTACCAACACTTCGTGTGTCATCAGGCTAATGACAGAGACTGGCGAGGTTTGTTTAAGCGATAATTAAGGCAGGCCAGAAACAAAAGGGAGATAATTAAGAATTGCAAAATGTGCCTGCTGTGTGAACTTTCATTTCTGTGACGCTGTGTCTGTCAGCACACTTTTATTATAACTACAGCTTTGAAGTCCTGTCCAGTCTACAGTGAAGATTTGTTGCCTGGGCTCCTGGTTTCTGGCTCGGTTCCCTGGCAGAAGAAACAAACAAGCCTTCATTTCTGTCTCTAGAAAATGGAATTTTAGTCCTTGGGCAGAAAAAAACAAAACAGGTGTCTGAACATGTTTTGGGAGGGAAAAATGTAACTCAGCCAAGAGCTTTCTCAGGGTGAGAATTTTCCTTTACATTCAATCATTAGAGAGAGAGAGAGAGAGAGAGAGAGAGAGAGAGAGAGAGAGAGAGAGAGAGAGAGAGAGATGCTTGCTGTGGAGTTCAGAGTACAGCTTTCTGGAGACATTTCACTCCTTCCAGGAGTGAACTCACGCTTTCTCATGAAATGTTTTTCACCTCTGAGCCCTTGCATGACCTTCCCTAGCCTATTTGGTGAACTAACCCTGGAAAAAAGACCAAGAAGGAGTAATCTTTGAAGAGTCTTGCTGGGGGTGTGGGGGCTGAACGCCTTTACCTCCCAAGGCAGGCTGGTCTGCATAGCAAGGTCAGCTCCATAGCAACTTGGAGCCAAGGCAACCAAGTGAGACACTGTCTCAAACAAAACAAACAAAAAGTAAATCTTACCCAGAGTCTGCGTCCTCAGGATAACACTCAACCTTTTGTAGTCCAAGTGGCAAGCCGGTGCTACTCACCCTTTGGAAGACAGCAGTGGGGATGACTGTGGCTAAGGGAGCTGGCTACAAGCCAGCACTTTTGAAATGCGACACTGGCTACATTTAGTATCTAAATGTCCAATTGTGATAAATATTAAGTGGCACAAAGGAAACAGTTTTGCCTAGGGGAAACTTATATGTTACTTTGTTTCTTGTTTCCTGAGCTATCAAATGATTGTAAGATGATTGTTACTTTGTAAAGATCCTTTGTAAATAAGCAAGTCTAAAAAAGTAACATTAACCGGCTGGAGAGGTGGCTCAGAAGTTGAGAGCGTTGACTGTTCTTCCAGAGGTCCTGAGTTCAATTTCCGGCAACCACATGGTGGCACACAACCATCTACAATTCAATCTAGTGCCCTCTGCGGGTATGTGGGCAGAGCACTGTATATGTAATAAATAAATAAATCTTAAAAAAAAAGAAAAGTAACATTAAAACCGGCGTGATAGCACATGCCTTTAATCCCTGCACTTGGGAGGCAGAGGCAGGTGAATTTGAGCCAGCTTGGTGTACAGAGTTCCAGGATAGCCAGGACTGTTTTACCGAGAAACCCTGACTCAAAACCGCCCCCCTCCAAAAAAAATAAAGAAAAAACCCTAAAAAAGAGTTTTTCAGTGTAGCTTTGGCGCTCACAGAGATCTGCCTGCCTCTGCCTCCTGAGTGCCAAGATTAAAGGCATGTACCACCACCCCGAAAAAAAATTTTTAAAGCCGGGCGTTGGTGGCACATGCCATTAATCCCAGCACTTGGGAGGCAGAGGCAGGCGGATCTCTGAGTTCCAGGCCAGCCTGGTCTATGAGCAAGTTCTAGGGTAGCCTCCAAAACAATACAGAGAAACCCTGTCTCAGAAAAATAAAAACAAAAAAAACATTTTTAAAAAGGAACATTGCATGGGCTGGAGAGATGGCTCAGAGGTTAAGAGCACTGCTCTTCCAGAGTCCTGAGTTCAACTCCCAGCAACCACATAGTGATTCACAGCTTTTTGTAATGAGATCTGGTGCCCTCTTCTGGCGTGCAGGAATACATGGGGGCAGAACACTATATGCATCATAAATTTTAAAGGGGAAAAAAAAAAGGAACATTGCAAGTCTTTTTTTCAAGCAATTAAATCCTATACTGGCTTATTTTGCATATTTTTCTTTTACGTTTAGTACCTACATAACTTTGTTTCTGGTCTGTTTGCATTAGTTGCCCTTTAATTTTGTCTTTGACACAGTCTATGTTTCCCAGGTTGCCCTCAGACTTGCTATGTAGCTGAGGATGACCTTGACCTTCTCCTCTCTGCCTCACCTTCCCAGTTCTGGGGCTATGGTGTCCACCAGAAGGGGTTACTCAGGGCTAGGGCCTCAGTCACATCTGCAGTCCCAGTTATTTTTAAGGGGGATTGTTGTTGTTGTTTCCAGTTTTGAGTTTTGTTTGTTAGTTTGCTTTTGTCTTTATATTTTTCTGAGACATGTGTCTCTGTGTAGTCCTGGAACTGGCTATGTTGATCAGGCTGGCCACCTGCCTCTGCCTCCTGAGTGGTGGTAGTAAAGATGCCCGCCACCCACGCCCTGCTAGAAGGTAATTTTGTGTGTATAAGTGTTTTACCTGTGTGTGTATCTGAGCATGTGGGGTTTGCAGAGGCTAGAATAGTGTGTTGGATCGTCTGGAACTGGAGTTGAAGATGACAGTCAGCCCCTGTCTTAGTTATGGTCTCTATTGCTGTAAAGAGAAACCATGACCATTGCAACTCTTTTTTTTAAAGAATTTTTAAAGATTTATTTGTTTATTATATACAGTGTTCTACCTGCATGTCTGTCTGCACGCCAGAAGAGGGCACCAGATCTCATTAGAGATGGCTGTGAGCCACCATGTGGTTGCTGGGAATTGAACTCATGACCTCTGGAAGAGCAGTCAGTGCTCTTAACCTCTGAGCCATCTCTCCAGCCCCCATGGCAATTCTTATAAAGGAAAACATTTAATAGGGTGGCTTACAGTTCAGAGGTTCAGCTTATTCTCATCATGTGGCATACAGGCAGACATGGTGCTGGAGAGGTAGCTGAGAGTTCTATATCTTGTGCAGGCAACAGGAAGTGGACTCAGATACTGGAGGTGGCTTGGGTCACACATGTATATACACATACATATACATACATATATATGAGACCTCAAAGTCCGCCTTCACAATGACACACTTCCTCCATCAAGGCCACACCCACTCCAGCAAAGCCACACCTCCCATAGTGCCACTCTTTATGAGATTATGGGGGCCAATTACATTCAGACTACCTGAGCGGGCCCCCAACCCTCCCCATGCCAGTGCTGGGAATTGAGCTTAGGTCTTCTGGAAGAGTAGCTAATCTTCACCACCAAGCCATCATTGCAGCCAAAGGATAACAGTTTAGTGAAATAGAGGACATTTACACTTTCATCATTTACAAAAGAAAACAAATAATTGTGTACTGCACAGGCCTGTTGTCACTCCCTGACCCATGGCCTCCTGATGTGATATGCCACCGCTGCTGTGCCGTTCACTGCTGTGCCGTTCCTCAGAAACGTTTGTCAGTCACGCACAGTGGCTCATGCCCTTATCCGTATTGCTCGGGAAGCTAAAGTGGGAGAAACAATTCAAAGCTAACCTCAGATACATAGAATTCTGAGGCTATATGAAATCCTTTTCAGGAAAAAAAGGCCACTTTTAACGTCATAAATGTTGCTGGTGAGTGGTAGTGCATGCCTTTAATCCCAGCTCTCAGGAGGCAGAGGCCATCATGAGCTCAAGGCCAACCTGGTCTACAGAGCGAGTGCCAGGACAGCTGGGACTACAGAGAGAAACTGTGGCTCAAAAAGAAAAAAAAAAAAAGAGCAGGAGCCTGCCCTTTCTGACTCGGGGGTTGTTTATTGTGGTTTAAGCTTTTCTGCAACTAGAAGAACATTCTGAACCTTTGGGCCTGACTTTTCAAAGCACAGGCCATTTATAGTGTTTTAGAGGCAGCAACAAACAACTTGAAGTACTGCACAGGGACACAGACAGGCCCTTGAAGGAGCCACCTCTGCAGTTTTGAAAGCATCAGTGGAGCCATGTGTCTAGTGATGGCTGTCGTTTCCTGGGTGGGTCCCTGAGGCACTCACAGGTGACTGCGGGCAGAGTTCATATGGTAATTCATGCTCCTCAGTGTTTGTAGGTGGCCGTGAAGGAAAACAGGCTGACTCCCCCTGAAAATGTGGTTTCCTAAAAACCTTACTATGTTACTCTAGCTGCCACTTGCCCACCTCGAGAGAATGCATAAGGAGTTTTCTAAATCTGTAGCTTGAGACTGGGCCCCTTGAGCAGCTTACTGTCAGAGTACTGTAAACTTTTAAGAGGAATTAGGAGTTAGAAAAAGCCACAGATAAGATCCTTAGGCAGTGTGCTGAATGGTTTTATGTCAACTTGGTACAATCTAAAGTCAAATGACAGGAGGGAACCTCAGTTGAGAAAATGCCTCCATAAGATCAGGCTGTAGGCCAGCTTGTAGGCATTTTCTCAGCTAGTGGTTGATGGGGAGGACCCAGCCCATTGTAGGTGGGGCCATCTCTGGGTTGATGGTCCTGGGTTCTGTAAGAAAGCAGATTGAGCAGCCATGGGGAGCAAGCCAGTGAGCAGCTCCCCTCTGTGACCTGTGCATCAGCTCCTGCCTCTGGGCTCCTGGTTTCTGCCCTCACTTTGTTGATACTGAACTGCTCTATGGGACTGTGAGTGGATTAAACCCAAATTGATTTTGGTCGTGGTGTTTTATGACAGTAACCCTAAGACACAGCACTGCAGTGCCCACCTGCGAAGCAGACTTTGGATCCTGGGATGGTAGGAAAGAC